ATTCAACAAAATCTTCTTCCTGATTTTCAATGCACTTTCTGCAGTGGGGTTTTCTTTTCCTTGTTTGAAGAACAATAAAAGTATTCAGAGACTTCAAGCTGCCTTAGCAGCTTGCCAACTGTTTGATTATTTGTCAGTAAGTGGCATCAATATAGGTGTAACAAACTTCTTTTGAAAGGAAAGAAATGGAGAAACTGAAAAATAGGGGAAAAGAAGAAAAATAATATTTTGCAAAAATGTGTTCTGAGCTTTTCCAAAGTGTTGCTTTGGTTGCCTTCATGTTGTCAAGCAGCCCAATGTAAAGCCATAGTTCTCTACATTTCCCTGCCTTTTGCTAAAACAAAGATGATCATGCCAATTCAGACAACTGTTAGAATCACCTAGTTAACACTTCCAAAGGGATCTAAAGCAGTACAAAAGTCAGCATATTATCTATCCCTCTTCCCACACACACTGTGTCTTAAAAATAGTCATCCATTTTACCTGTGAGCTCGGGAGGTGCAAGCAGCCTCCTGTCCTGCAGGAACACACGAATGGCTGTCAGCCAAAGCAGCAGTCAGACTCTTTAACAGGGTAGTGAAGCCGAGTGCAATGCAACGAATAAGTGAAGCTGTTGAAACAGACCTATTCTAGCATTTGCATTATCTGTGCAGCAAATGCCTGCTGTCTTCTTCTCTTTTATCCATGAGACTTCTTCTGGGCCTCTCTTGCTTACACTAAATCTACCTACTCCCTAACTTGCCCTATTTACCACTGTTTGCATTCTTACACTGTTACCTAACTTCTAGCTCTGGGAACCATGGGATCACAACTGCTGTTGTGATTTTGTAACTTGGCCTCTACTAGAAAGCAGGCTCTCCCTGTCCTGGATCTGCAGGCATGAGCCTACACCCTTGTACCTCTCCCTGAGGAGTACTCAGGTGGTTCTTTTCTCTCTTGAGCAGAGAGAATGAGGCAGGGACAAGTGTGAGCGTGCAGAAGCAGACAGGACAACTGAATGTAAGGATAGAAAGGTCTATAACCAACACCTGAAGCACATCCTTTGGTTACTAAGTCATGAAGCCTTTGCTGTTGACATAAGAGAAATGACAAGTTTGCCACTGCAAAGAGGTCTGCTGGGGGAACCTCTTCAAGGTTCCAGCACTGCCTCTGCTGTAGCCAACAGGAGCCCACACCATGGTCCTCTGGAACAGGGGGGATTCAGTTAGCATTTCCTTAAAAATAATAGCTTGAAGGATCGATGGAAAAGAAGAGCACTGAGCAGCTTCTGTTTGCCAGCCTGCTCCTGCAACAGTACAAGGTGCTGGAGTTCATTCTCTCACCTCTGTGTGGGTTGTTCATGCCACATTCACCTACATGACAGCTCCAGGAGACTTCATGGTCAGTGTTCACCCTCCTGCCTGCATCTTTAGCACCTGGACACCCAAAACATGTGACTCATCCTTTCCCATGTTCTCATGAATTGTTTCCAAATGTCTGAAGTCTCTTAAACATCAGTCACACACCTCTGTGTGTGCTTATCTTTCTGTTTAATGTCGTTAATCACAAAAGACACCGATAAAGTTACCTTTACCCTTCCTCACATGATAATCCCAAGCAAATATGGCATAAAGGTTATGCACTCACCTTAACACTCATTACTTTTCAACAGCTGGATCAAACGAGTTGTGAAATTTATCTTCTAGCTCTTGGTAACTGTTTTCAAATTCTTCAATCACAAACACATAATTGAAAGTGAATTTTTTTCACGGATCCTGAAAGGGATCATTATCAGAACTGAGACTGGAGGCATTTCTGGCTTTCTGTTTTGTTTTTCCATACTCAGGCTGACTAAGGTCCAGCTTGGAGGTGGTGATTTGCAATGTTTTCATTTCAAGAGCGCCTGAATGAAGGCACTGCAAAGGAGGCCACGTGCTGCCCCTGGCTATTAGCTCCCAGGCACCTAACCTAGACACCCACCTTAATTAGGCAAGGTACAGTTACTTGTCTGAGCCAGAGGAGGGCAAGAAATTATTAATTAAAAAAAAAAAAAAGAAAAAAGAAAAAAAGGAAATCTGTAGCAATAAGACCCACATATTCACACATTCTGCTGCATTCATATAACCTGTAAATCAGGAAAGCTCTTAGCCATATATTTAAGAAAATGTATGTCTAATTTTGCTCTGAAAAGGCTTCTGTGTAAATAAGTGATCTTTGGTATGAGATGTCCATGACTGTACACAGTAAAACGATTTCCTGCCAAATCTGAAGTCTGCTTGAAGTCTTTTTATGCTGAAATATGTCAGATGAAGGTCACAAGAAGTATGAAATATCTATCCAAAACCATAACAGCTAGTGATACCTGTGGCTAAATCAGGCTCACACTGATGTTTACAAGTTATCTTTAACAGGCACTCCAGAGACACAACAGATACCAGACCACCAGTGATGAGTGAAGACTCTTGCTGTGCCCCAGCACCTGCCTTCTCTGGACCAGCACAGACCCCACTTCTCCATATGCTCCATCTGTTTCCGAATGCACTCTCCATGCTACGGCACATGGATCTGCTTTCCATGCCACAAAGCCCACCCATCAAGGCAATGCCTCTTGTAGAACCACTACAGAAAACACAGAGATGCTTTACCAAGTCAAAATATTTTATTTTCCAATTTTGAAGCTGATTGAACTCACAGCCAGCCATTCCCAATGCCACTGTCAAACTCAGTATTGCTCTGCAAACCTACGTGTGTAACTGTGGCCTTGACTACACTGATATAAGGCAACGTTAGAATCTTCCAACAGCCATAAGGTTAAAATACATTAAGAAGATTTCTCATGTCTAGAATAGTTAGCTGATCCCAGTTAATTTGAATGCACACACTCTAATGCAGAGTGGAATTTTTCACACAAATTGTATTTCAAGAGAAAAGTGTGCAGATTCTCTCATATTATTGCTTTTCAAAAATCTCTATTAATTTCCCAGACTGCCCCCTTAGAAGAAGAAAGTAAATATAAAAATTGCTTAACCACTTCCAAACTAAAATAATTCAAGTTTTCTACTATAATGGAATCCTTCAATTGTTAAAGAAAATATTATTTCTGACTTCAATCAGAAAGCAGAAAACATTTTGTTTCCTTCAGCCCCACTTTCTACTGCCAGATGGTTCACAAGTTGTTTTCAGAATATTTCATTTCCCACCACTCCCCAAACTGAAAGCCATTTTTTAAATTCAATGTCAGCTAGGAAGAAAGCCCCACTATCTGTTGGAGTGGGTCCAGAGGAGAGCCACAAAAATGATCAGAGGGCTGGATCCCCTCACCCTGTGAAGACAGGCTGAGGGAGATGAGACTGCTCAGCCTGGAGAGGAGAAGGTTTTGGGGAGATCTTATTGTGGCCTTCCAGTACCTAAAGGGAACTACAAGAAAGACTGGGGTAGACTTTTTAGCAGGCCCTGTTGCAAAGGACAAGGGGGTAATGGTTTTATACTACAAGAGGGTAGATTTAGGATAGATATAAGACAAGAAGTTTTTTACAATGAGTGTGGTAAAAGACCATAACGGGTGGGCCAGAGAGGTGGTAGATGCCCCATCCCTGGAAACATTCAAGGTCAGATTAAAGATCATCAAGTCTGACAGCTAACTCAGCATTGCCAAGTCCACCACTAAACAATGTCCCCAAATGCCACATCTATGCCTTTTAAATACCTCCTGGGATGGTGACTCCACTTCTCTGCACAGGCTGTTCCTGTGCTCGTCAACCATTATGGTGAAAAAATTTTTCCTAATATCCAATCTAAATCTCCCCTGACAAAACTTGAGGCCATTTCCTCCCATCCTATCCCTTGTTACTTGGGAGAAGAGACCAACCTCCACTTTACAACTACCTGCAAGAAGGTTGTAACAGAGCAATAAGGTCTCCCCTGAGTATCCTTTTCTCCAGGCTAAACACCCCCAGCTCCCTCAGCTGCTCTTCATCAGACTTGTGCTCCAGATCCTTCCACAGCTCCACTGCACTTCTCTGGACACACTCCAGCACCTCAATGTCCTTCTTGTAGTGAGGGGCCCAAAACTGAACACAGGATTCGAGGTGTGGCTTCACCAGTGCTGAGTACAGAGGGAAAATCACTGCCCTGGTCCTGCTGGCTACACGTTTTCTGATAAAAGCCAGGATGCCATTGGCCTTCTTGGCCACCTGGACACACTGCTGGCTCATGTTCAGGTAGCTGTCAAACAGCACCCTCAATATTACTTTCAATCCTTTCACCCCCATGGACATGGTTAGTGCAAAGATCTTAAATATCATTCCCACTTCCCGAGCAGAGAACCAAAGCACCATGTAACATTACAGACCAGTGGCAGAAGACATCCCTATTTCCTTTTCCCAGGAAAGAAGACATCCCAGACTCTAACTCCTATTTTCTTTTTCCAGGACAGTGACACAGAACCTGCCATCCCTAGGAAGAACATCTGCCAGTAACATATTTACAAACAGTAATTGTGTATTTTACCAACTTGGGAGCTGCATTGCCAAGGAATGTAAAAGTCTTGCCCTAAAAAGATCGTAATTTCTGTAGGTGGAGAGCCCACACAGGTTTGGGGATTTCAGAACAAACATATGCAACTGTATTTATTGATCAGAATTAGCTACAGTGAGCTCGTGGCATGGAGTGAGAGATGATCAATTGTAATGGAGGAAGGATGGGAAAATGCTTTGTCATATGCTTTGGACATATGACATCAATTCAGGGTAAAATTAGATTTTAAAAAGATAAAAAAGATGAACAAGAATGATTCTGGATTAGCTCTAAATCATATCCATTCTAATAGCTAAAAAGTAAAAATAAAATCACATTGACAGTTTGGCACCCTCAAGTGCTCAGTGACAGCATAGAAGTACATGGTATAAAATCTTACTAAATTACATGGTATGAAAACACACCATGTTTGCATCTCTGAAGAATCAACAGGGTTATCTTTCCACTGCTGGTCCTTTCAGTTCTACAGCTCACAGGCATTTATGTCAGAAGTTGTTCTGATATGGACAGTGGCTATTTGTGGTGCCAGAATATACAAATTCCTGAGCTGAGCTTCCAGCTACTGCAGAACAGGAGGGCTTACAAAACTTTGGCAATCCATCTTCAACAACTGCACCATTCAGGATAGTCTTAGGAGTCTGCTTCTTGTCCCCAGCTTCATCATCCATGCACTCCAGAGGCTCCAGATCGTGGTATTTTCTCCGATAGACAACTCTTGAGATTACAGTTATCAGAAACATTTCCATGATGAGGAGCTGCTGGGCTATAACTGGAAAAAAAAAAAAAAAAAAAAAAGAAAAAAAGGAAGCAATGGAAAGCCCCCAAAATGGGAGATTACTGTCAGATGCAAAATGAATACCAAGCTCATTAATTCATTAATTTTCACCTGTGCAGAGGGAACAAACTTTACCATTCAGTCCCTGTAACAGGTGTCTCACACTCAGCAATAACATTCAGCTACAGAATTCCAGTATTGCCCATCAATAAGCATGCAGTAAATTATGTATCCAAAACATAGGAGAATTAACAGCAATTATGCATTTTGATTTCTTTTCCTCTCATTTCTGATTCCAACTCTTCTCGTTAACAAGTTTTTCTCTATGACTGTCACAGCTATAAAACTCTTGTTCTTGTTTTTTTAAGTAAAAACTGAGATTCTCCAAAAGTTAATGATCCCAGGAAATTAGCACTTTGGAAAACACCAGATATTGCAACACTGAACTGGCACTTTTATAAGTAAACGAAGAACATTCTTCCCAGAGAAACTTACATGATCCTCTTGCTGTAGAGGAGAGTGGTGGAGCACAGGGAATGACTCTCTTGTGTGGCCAGCATGTGGATAATAGTGGTCTGCAGGTGGTTCAGAATGACAATAAACTGCACCAGAAAGAGAAAACAAATGCCTTAGCTTCCAGAAAAGGGTTTAAGTTCACACAACAATTCTGCTTTCATAACAGAACCTCTTTTGCCTCATTCCTCCTTTCCTGCCCTCCCTCTCCTCCCATCTACCAGCAGGCTGCCATTCTGCAGAATTCATCTTAAGGTCAGGATGATAGTGCTCTGAAGATGAGTATTAAATTAAACCTCGACTTGCAAAGTGCTTCTTCTCAGCCCTTCATTTGAGAGGTACAATATACACAAACCTCCCAGCTGGGATTTTAAATAATGCTGAGCTCTGAATAACAGGTAACAAGGTTTTAAAAACTGCCCCTTAATTTGATTTACGAGCTTATGTTCTCCCTTAATGGAGGAGGGACTCAAAGAATGTTTTTTTCTGTTGTCTCCTCTTTCTGCCACAGCAGGGAGACATCCTAGCCCCCAGGTTATATAGGACTGGCTTCTTTCCAGGAGGTATGAAGGAGTCTTTGCCACTTGAGTTCAGCAACCATCACTTGTGCATCGTATTACCTGCTATTCTCTGAGCAAGGCCTTTGCTGCTGTGGAGGTACCAAAGTATCTCTGTAGCTGCCTGAGTATAAACCCTCACATTACCAGAGTTTGCCATCCTAAGCCTGAATTCACTCTAACACAGCTTTGCAGGTATGACTGTCTGTTATTAAGTGCTTAATAATTTACTTAACAGACACCTTAGTGCACGAGCCTTTCTGTATGTCCTGCTCAAGAAAGATGCATAACCAAGGATTCTGCTGCACTCTTTTCAGGGTTATGAGGAAGAGGGTGGCCTTGTCCCTGTGCTTGTTTGATCTAACATATCTGGTTCTATTCCTTACTAATTAATGATTCCCAGGCATTAATAAGTTTCATTATTAACTGACTCTGAAGGGCAGAATGGACAAGAAAAATACTGTTAAAATAGAATATCGTGGCACTCTGAAACACTTCAAACAACAGCCACCCACACAATGCAATAAATCCTCTCCTAATTTTTAGAGACACATACTAACATTTTAACATTGCATTTTGGGATACCACATCTACAAAGCTTCTTTCAAGACCCACAGAAAATGCTGCTGTGATTTTAGTGGTATAAAGATAGACAGATTTGATGTGTCTTTCACATCTCCAGCACTCCTGAGAGACAACAGGTAAATTGGCTCAAGATGAAACTGAACAGCAGCCAAGAGAGTTCTCCAAAGGAATGCAGCTTAAATCAGGTAAAATTATGCCTTTGCACACTGTATTTAATGGGAGAAAATATTATAACTTTTCAATGAGGGACCAAGAAGTAGAAAGACAGTGTTGCATCAGCAGTTAAGAAAAATTCTTACCAGAAATATTAAACTTCTCACCTGATACAGGGCAAACTTTGGGATAATGTTCTTACAGGTAAGGAGAGTCCTAACTTTTCGAAACACGATTCCAACTGCCCACAGAGCAGTAAGGGTAAGGACACCCATGGAGATGTTAATCCATAGCGCAGGTTCTTTGGGAGATAACTGAGAAGCAAATAAAACAAGAGTACCTTATAGAACCTTACTTTACATTGTACCATTTCCAGGAAGAAGTTGTGAACTAGATGATCCAGATGTTAAAATGCTTGTTCCTATCTCCACGAAAGCTGGTGGCAGCAGCAGCTGCTGGGCTTTGCATGGGGAAACTGCACAGAACCAACTGGAGTGTTGGCTCATGCTCTCACCCAACAGGCACCAACATGGAAATCTGTTCAGCCTGGGAAGGTACCAGTTGACACAACCCCTCAGTCTGACCCCAGAAGCAGCTGGCAATGCTCAGCAACTCATGAGAGCATATTCAACATGCCATCTCAGACAGGTCATTTGTTTTAAACCATGAAACAACAACAAAAAAATTACTTTTAATCTCAGTTAACCAAGAGGTGCAACGCTATTATCGGTTACAGACTTCTCCATCATCTTGCAGGTTACACGGGACAAAGCAGAAGTACAGTGCTATATTTTCTACTTTACACAGATATAAAAATCACCATGATTTGCAGAAAAACATAGAATTAGGCTTCCTGTTTACACATGCTACTACATTCACTTTTTCCTTAAGGTTATACCTTTATAAAACACAGGGCAGGTACATCCCACAGGGCCACTTGCAGTCCTGCTATTCTAACCATACAAACTGGGAAATGTCTTGGGGCATAGTCTGATGTTAAACACACCCTGATGCCCAGTTTCTTTCCAAGAGAAGCTGGGAAATGGAGAGTCTGGGGGAAGGCAGAAATCATATGTTTCAGGGTCAAAAAGAGCACAGTAAAGACTCACTTGGAAGTGCTCCCAGATTTCACAGGTCAGTTGTAGGCTGAGACAGTAACATCAACCCTAAAACCTGTGGATTTTGTGGACCACCTGTGATTAAAATATTTACTTACATTGTAAAGGACGTAGTTGCCATTACTCCAAAGCACTATTGATAAAAATACGAGCACAGGTCGAAAGACAGCAAACTGAAAGGTGCCCACCTTCAGCCAAAAGAGGGTTTGCCTGGCCAAAAAACCAAAAATTAAAAAAAAAAAAATCAGATGAAATAAGATTTTATTAGCAACCTTAATAACATTTTTTGGATACTGTCAACTGCAAAACTTTTCCACTCCTGTAGCATGTTGCTAAAATCTTGGGAGGAATATCTTCAAGATTAGAATATCTTTCCAAGAATTTCCCAGTGTTTATTTAATAAAGTCTCTACAAAAATAGTACTTTTCCTGCTCTGCAGCAACTACATACTAACCAAAGCTGGGCTAAATGTGATGTCTGTCTCTGCCCTGAAGCAAACCAGGGAGCCAGTAGCAGCATAACCAGTTTCTGAACTGTAATGGCCTTTGCTCTTGCCTTGTTGCATTGCTATTTCAGTTCTCTGGTGAAGTTGGGCAATTCAGCCTTCCTGTTCAGACACTTCCTAGTCCTGTGGTAGATCAAGAAATGGAATCATACAGACCTAGGTGAAAGGACTGGTAGTTTTTCAGTGCATCATGAATAGTAGCACATTAGCATCTGGTTTTGTTCCACTGTAGTCTAACAGAAGAAAGGAACTGTCTTTCACTTGGCAAACTGCACAAGGCCAGCAGGACAGCTCAGGATTTCCTCACTTCTGTCAGTATAAACTGGGTCCAGAACACAGCCCATACACAGTAACCTGGCCAGGTAGCATTAAATGTCAGCAGGAAAGGGGCAAATGAAATAACAGAGGGCATGAAAGCTGATTGACCTAAAATCTCCCTTTAAGTCTTCACAGGACAGGCTACAGCTGCTGCATATGGCTCATGTTTTAAGTCTGTTCCTGTGTATTATTTTCCATACTGTCAATGTTGTCTTCACTGTAGCTCCTTGGGCCCTTGAGACTGCCATGAGAGATGCCTCAGCAGAAAACAGTTTAGCTGCCATCTGTATGTTATGGGATATAACCATGAACCAGGAATTGTAGGAATTGCTCAACGAATATAGATAATAACCACAGGATTATGAACAGCACAAACACATGTGGAAAGACCTGCAACGGGCCAGACATTTCGTGTGTGCTTTTAAAAAGATTATTGTTCCCAGAGGTCTGTAAAGAATAATAAATATGACAAACAGTGCAGTCATTGCAATGCCGTGAGCTGTTTCCCTTGTCAGTGTGGGTCTTTATTGACCATCAGATTTCTTCTGCCACATCTCTTTCCACTCACTCCACTTGTTACCTTGTCTCATCTGTACCTTGTGATTTTTCCCAGGACTGCTCGATACATGATGTTCTTTTAAAAGAACAAATCCCTCCCTTGGAGTAGCTCCCTGTTTCGCCATAACATACCTACAGGAGGATCATGAGATTGACTTTTCTCTGGTATAGCTTGCTCAAATTTGAAAAAGAAAAAAAAAAAAAGTCACCTTGTAATGGGAAAAGGCTGGAAGATAGAAGCAGAAAGTGGATGGATTTCCCAGCGCTAAAGACACCGGAGAAGAAGCCCAAAAGCCCTCTGCAGATCAAAAAGCCTTTTTTTTAAACAGACAGCTGCCCTTCCTGCCAGCAGTAGTAGGCACTATCTGGTTCCTGAAATGCGTCCGTACTAGCTAACATCATCCTGCATAAGCTGTCATTGGACTGACCAACAGCAGGCAGGGCATAGTACAGGATCCTCTCCCAAGCTCCCAGCTACCACGACCTATACAGAGGGTGACAGACACAGGAAGAAGAAAAAAAAGCTACATTTTTTACTACGTTGGTACCCCCTCTATGTAAATATTTAGTGTTATACCCTTAAAATAAAATGATGGAAACAAGAGTTCAAATTCTAATACCAAATGGGGAAGTTAAAGGAAGAATTATTACAGTAAAAAAAATAAGAATTTTTGAAAATGCATCAGAAACCACTATGCTGTGTTCAGTTTGATGCTTTCCTTTAACAGATTGTAAATTCCCCAAGGTCCCTCTGTCACTAAAGTCTGTGCCCTCACAGAATAGCCTCTGTCTTGCACATTCAGTCCTTCAGATTTTGCTTATAACGAGAGAAACAGTCTCGTGCTCTGTGCCAGTAGGAAATCCATGGGAAATACATGAGGCTTCCAGGCTGTGGAGCAGCCTGAACATGACAGAGTGACATGAGCCAGAGGAGGAGCCCCAGCAGGCAAGGTCTATATTGGCTCCTGTAGGTGCAGCTCTCTATCCTTACCCTACGTCTTGAAGATCCTTTAATACTTAGTAGAAGAAAACATATGCTTTTGCTTTACCAGACAATGCCGTTTCATTGAGATCAAAGCTTTCCAGAAATTACACCTACTTTTTGTTTCAAAAATTATTTTAAACTGAAGTGGTTTTAAAGACAAAATCAGAATGAAGCATTTCAATTTTATCAAAGTGAGAAAATTTTCTATCAAGACAGCCTCCTTGTGACAATTCTGCTCGTGAAAAATACCCAATCTGAAGACATTTGTTTCCTTCTGGGATGAAAAGAAACTGAAATCTCAATTATTAGGTTTTCTAGAGTAGAAATTCCTCCTTCCACAACCCCCTGCATTATAGAAGCAAAATAAATGAGTGGTGGTGTCCAGCCCCAAAGCGATAGTGCTGTTTAAAAGAGACGGCTTGGAACTGACTTTCGGGAAGTGGGGGAGGCCCTTTGCTGTAAGCCTGGCTTTGCCAAATTGGCTGAATTCCCGCAGCCGTTTTCGAGCTGGGAAATCTTAAAGGGCAACTCACCTAGTGATGGGCACACGAGGGAGGCAAAGGCAGCAGCAGCAGCAGGGACCGGTGCTGATCGTGAAGCGACCATTTTCAAACCGCCTGAGGAGCAGCTTTTGACCTCCACACTCTTTGATCATCATCATCAGGAACTTGTGGATAACTATGGCAAAAAATCTAGGAGAGGAAGAGAATTCCAGCTTGAACTTGCCTGTGTGTCTCTCATATGCCTGCTCAGGCCAGTCCAAGTTTTTACTTTTTACAGCTTACACTTTGCAATCAACAAAAATTCCGGCACTGTCTGTAAGAAACTTTCCACTTTCCTTCATCTTAGGGGGCCAGAACAGCCCTAACCTCGCTGAAAGAGGAATAAACCAAGGCACAGAGCAGCTGTGGAATTCCCCAAAGCCCCACTGGTGGCTGGTGGTAGATTCAGTATTAAAGTACATGCTTTTCTGGCCCAAGTCATTATGTCTTTATTTTTCCATAATTATTGGAAAAATTCCATAACTATTGCTGACTGGACCAAACTTTTTAGAACAAGTCCTCTCCCTCCTCAAACTCAGCTTCCAATCAACAAACATGGCTAGGTTCATACATACAGCTATCATTAGTGTGCTGGCCCAGTCAGGGTGTGGTTCCTTTGCAGACAAAGCTGATCCAAGTACCGACTGCTTCAACCCCACCTCTCCCTCCTTCCCCATCTGCACATTCTCAACCCTTCCTGGGAACTGATTCATGGAAATCCAGCCAAATGAAAGGGGTCTTCTGCACTGCCTGCAGATTGGGCAAGGAAGGGAGGGGGAATTCAAACACACCACAGGAGTGGATCCTTGGAGGTTTCTGGCAATCTGCACTACCTGCACTGCCTGCTGCATGCTGACGATGTTTCCTGCTACAGTGTTTTCCCTCCTCTTCTACTCTTTTAGTAAATGCAGTGTGACATGGGGTGAGACAACACATGAAAGTCTGGGATAGTGTCTTGCAGTGTGTTCCAAAGCCTCCCAAAATGTGGAGTGCTCAAGACCAAGTCTACCCATCAGGGCTGTGCCATCATATCCAGAAATCAGGGACCACATTCCTCCATTCTTCTCTGTGCATGCCAAAGCTGTCATGCTCATAGAGAAAGTGCTTTTATCAGGACAACTGTGGAACATTTTTACATTGATATACTCATCGGAGGTTCACTTGCCACCATTAATAACAGACCTCCACAGCTCATCATTAGCAGAAGCGCAGGGAAGAAGTCATAGGTCAGACTCTCATTCCACATGGCATGCAGAGAGAGGAAAGACAGAGTACTGCTTCAAAGGGACTGTCAATCCGAAGGATCAATTACATGCGAGTCACAGACCCTTCGTGCTGACGTTCCCACACTGCGGGACTGTGACACTGGGAACTGCTTCAGCATTCTCCACCTCCCAGAAAAGAATTGCCGAGAGATTTCAACTCAAACAAAAAAATTATTAAGTTGTTAAGTTTACAAAATAACTGTGTTAGCAAGGGCAGGAGATGTTTAAAGTGAAGAAATCCAGGATTTGGGGCAACATCCAGAAACAAGCAGAATACTCACATTCCTGCTGTGAAATCTGTAAACATTGTTGAACGAGGAATCCACATGCCAATGCATGAAGTAGTAGAGATCACCTACAGGGAAAGGGAGAAGGGTTGTACGAAGGGCTGAGATAAAGCAGGTTCATGTGGATTTGTGGGGAAACCCGATTTTCAACATTCAGTTTTATCTCATTCCCATGCTAACTTACTGGAGCTGCAGCATTAATCCAAATTATGATTGATCTTTTGGAGGAAGGGGTTTTCCTGTAGATGTAGACTGCTTCCTCTATAAATACCAGAATGGCAATTAGTGTCATCAGAGTCAAGGTTGCAAAGAGAAATCTCCCTGGTAGGTCAAGGCCTGCAGAGAGAGAAAAGAAAACAGACAGTTCCAATTTATTTCATAAACATTTCAAACCATCTCTGAGGAGCTTCTTTGACTTGTTCCTGCAAAGACTTGCCCTCATCCTTAGTTACATAGGCAGACCACTGACTCCACAGAACAATTCAAACACTTAAGTTCATGACTAAATCTTTCCAGGATCTACAGAGAGCATATGAGAAGAATACACCTTCACGTTCTCAAAGCCTTATGCAATAGTCCCCTTCAGAAAGGTGGAGTTCCAGGACAAATATCCTTAGGCGAACATAAATATGTGGCAGAATATAAATAAATACATAATACACAATATAAGTAAATACAGTAAATACATATTCTGGGACATTTTCCAGGCAGGCCATAAGCAAACGTGTTCACTCAGTATTAGTCCTTTGCTTCCATTGTATGTCAACAGGCACGTTACATGTAACTTCCTTAGGCAGGTAAACTTAATAGTTTGGTGGAAATTCGTAGGGTACATGAACAAGGAAAGCCTTGGAAAGTAAGGAAAAGCCCCTGATGTATCTAGCATGAGATAAAACTTGATGTCTTCACCAAAATCTTTTTTACTTCTTCCTCAGTGCTGGATATGGATATCAACATTTACCCATACGTGATGAGTGTTAGGTCTCCACTGACACTGGGTACAGAGATCAACTTCTACCCACGTAAATGGTTGAGGTGCATTTTTTTCCCAGGAGAGGTGTTTCCAGAGGCAGAAGAAAGCACTGCAGTGGAGTCATGTGCTTAATTTCGGAGAAGTTCATGCTCATCACTGGTATTAACTCCTGCTGCGGCTGCAGCCTATCTGAAGGCAAAGCCTCTGCGTCAGCCTCTTTAACCTAACCTGCTTCAAAAACCCCTGGCACTTGGAGGCTTGGCTGCAGGCGGAGCAGCGCACGTCTCAGTGGACATCGCCACACCTCAGACCTGACGGGAGAGAGCAGCTCTAGGGGCCGGTTCAGCGCTCGGTTCCGCTGGCACCGGACAGCCCCGGCGCGCCCGCCCTGTTCTCTGGCACCCCCCTGCAGCTCCGGGCTGGGGGCCGTGCTGTCCCCTCGCCCTGCCCCGAAGCCAGAGACAGCTCGGCCCTCTGACAGGCGGAGGATCGACCGGGACGGGCGGCTGCCAGCCTCCCTCCGCCCGGGGATTTCCTCACCGGGGAAGAACGGCGGCGGGGCAGGCAGGGACAGGGACAGGGATAGGGACAGGGGCAGGGGCACGGGCATGGACAGGGACGGGGGCAGAGGCAGGGGGATGGGTAGGGGCAGGGATAGGGACAAAGGCAGGGGCAGGGGGATGGACAGGGACAGGGGCACGGGCAGGGCAGGCGCAGCCTCCGCCATCCGCCGCGGGTGGGTGCCGAGGGCACGGCCGGGCAGGGGCCGCTCGCACGTAGCGGCACCCCTTCTCCTCACGCCTCCGCACTTACTCCGGAGAAGCTCCTCGGAGTAGGGCGGCTGGCTGGCGCCGCAGGACGGGTGGAGGGTCCCGTTCGCCTCGCCGTCCATGGCGGCCGTGGGGCGCTGGCGCTGCCGGGGCTGGGGACGGGCGGAGGGGTCGGTGTGTGCCCGTGGCCGGTCCGTGCCCGTGCCCGCCGGTCCCTGGCGAGTGCGGGCGCGGCGATGCTCGGCCCGGGTCCCCAGGGCTGGTTAATGATTACCCCGGGCCGGGGCGGGCGGTGCAGGGACCGGCCCCTCGCTGCCTCCTGGCGCCCGGCGGGGCGGGCAGTGCCCGGACCGGGACAACGCGCCCACCCCGCTCCCGCTCCGCCTGCGAGGGGACACGGCCCGGCAGTCCCCAGCGTCCTTGCCCGGCCTCGGTGGAGGTGCATACGGGATCCATCCACCTCTCGCTCCGGCCCCATCCTCACAGCCCCGGGCTGTCAGCGCTCCTGGAGCCGGGTGCCGGCAGCCCAGGCGGGACGGGTTGGATCCCCAGAGCCGGGACTCAGAGCCTTCGCCCCAGCCCCGGGGCACTGGTGGAAAGCTCGTCGGTCAATGGGGCAAATGTTTGAAGGACTTTCTTTCACCAAAGACTTCCCAGTCATCTTGGCTGCAACAAGGTGAGAAGCTGAAGGAAAGCACAGTGAGGGTAGGAACACACCGAGGGATTCTCCACTCTCGCACCTTTCCCCTGCTGGAAGGATCCTTTATGCAGCCTGAGGCTTTTCAGGCTATGTCCAGGAAAAGGGTATGAGTAATGAAATGATGGAGTTTGGTGACCCACCGAGTGATTCTGGCTGGTTGGATGGAAAGCTGGCTGCAAGAAGCAGCAGAGGATGGGTGTTTACAGCACGGGATGACAAAAGACTGTAACAGTAAACACAGAGTGGTGTCCAGGGGGAGGAGGAAAGCCCTAACTATCTATATGATATCAGTGATGAGCAATTGCCACTCAGGAAAAAGATCGTGGGAGCACAATGGATAGTCCGCAGAAATGACAGCTGAGGAATCAGCATGGGACAAAAAACAAAGGACTGTGAGGAATTTGTAGATAAAGAATGGAAGACACAAAACAGCTAAAATACAGAGGGAGGCCTCCCTTCACCATGGTTGAACAAATTGAACTGGAGAGGTGGGGAATTTAGGGGCTGTGGGACATCTTTAGGTACCATGGGCCCTTATGGTAAAAGGCTGCCATCTAGCAGTTTTCACAGGATTTCCAAAGGTTTTATGGGAAGGACAGGCCAGACACTGAAACACTGCCATCAAGAACACAGGGGTGCAGAAGAGAACTGAATTGCTTTCTGTGTAACACCAGCAGGTACTCAGTTGAGAGAAGACAGATCCCTTTCAGAGTGGTAGGATTTGGGAGCAAGACAGACGAGGCTACTGGCAGCCTGTTCCATTACTGTCAGGAGGGCTTGGTTGCAGATCAAAGTCATTTATTTTGAGTTCTCCTTGGCATTGATGTCATTGTTTTCACTGCATTGAAAGCTGAAGAGGAGATCTTTACAATTTCACCAGGAGGAATGTGACAGTAACTGGCTGTTAGAATGGGGTATCAGCCCAGTTTTCACAGTCTGCCTAGAGTGTCCTCCATCCAGTACATCTGCTGCTGCCCAGCTGCAGAAAGATACAGGCAACATTCTTGAAACACCATTCCAGCTTATTTTCTGTTTGAAAGTCTATTTACTCATCCTGAAGAAACAGTTGATAGTAGAGGAGTGAATAACCTTAATAGGCCATGCATTTTCTTCCCAGTTTACTTGATTTTTTAAAATCAAACTATTAGCAATGGATCACATAATCTGAAATGCAACCAAAAGCTCGTTAGGATTGCTGAGATGAAAAGATGGCCTAAGGCTTTTGGAGGTTCTTCTTGAGCAGACACAACAGGATTCCCATCTGCTACTATTTTGGTTGCAAACTCCTTGTATTCCCTGAAAGCTAAAAATAAAAATCCCTGACCACTTTTTTGAACGAGGCAGGTTTGGCAATGCTTTTGTTGGAGAAATTCACACAATGAGCATAGAACTCATGGCTATTTTACTGTATTTCAAAGAAACCCAGAGTTTCCTTTGACTTAAGAATTCCTTTAAGAACCCACACAATAATAGCTATGGGTTTTAGAGTCTTATTTAAGCCATTCAGTACTACCAGTTTGGAACAAATATTGCAGCATACACTGGACACGGCATTAGAGTCTCCTGTCTCAAACTTATAGAAAATTTATGGGTTGAAGTTTAAGGTTGAAGTGAAGGTTAAGGATTAATTCTCACCCGCTGTTGTAGAGATCCATCCAACTCTTTTCTTCTACTGAAGCCTTTTGCTCAGAATAGAGTCTAAAGAGAAAACCACAGACCTACTGTGATTCCTTTTTGTTAGAAACACCATTTACCATCTTAGGCTCAAACACTGGATCCACTTCCTTGAAAGCTGCCATACATCTGGGGGAAGCACCACCCCTTTCTCACGTTCTAGGCTATGTCTTGGCAACAATATTTGCCTGACAGTGCTTAAATTTAATAAATCAAACTGAAGAACGTGCCATGATCTCTCAGTTACCACAGCTGGAGTTCTGCTGCTCTGTGCATGCTTTCTTAATCCAGACTCTCCAGCAGTGCAGGGGATGTCGTGCTGGCATCTAGGCCAAATGCTGAGTCTCTACACCAACAGCGAACCCTTTAAATCCCCAGGACCCTAACTATGTTTTGCTCTGAGCTTCACTATTCCAATTTTTGGTTTAACCTTTTAGTTCAATGTATTATATTTTCCACCAAGACCCCTCAATCATCTGCAGTAGAGAAGTATTTATAAACGGATCACCTACCCATTTGGATGCATCAAGAGATTTTCACAGTTCCTCAGAATAAGAACCACTTGTAAATGCAGTTCCCCGCCTCTGGTGACCAGAGGCTTTCTAGTACTATGTGGTTCAGCTCCCTTCCAGACACTGCAGAGCTCAGACTTCTTTCTTCTCAAGAAACATACCCCTTTGTTTCTACTAGTGTGCTCATCCTTCACAGAGCACTGGGAATATTTATATTTCTTCCATTTTTGTGATGACTTTCATTTTCACCTGCCTTACTGCAGGGATACCTGTGTCCTCTCAGCTTTGTGGAATGGGATGCCTGTTGTGATCATTGCCCCATGGTGTGCAGTGCAGAGGAGCTGATGCCATCATGGTTTCTCCCCAAAAGAGGAGTACTGGTCTTCAGACAGCGACACAGCCCCTCTGCCTCCTGTTGGTGGGCCTAACCTATAGAGAGAAATCCTGATGTGAGCCCTGGCTCAGAAACTGAACAGCAGGAGATCCTGCAGGCTATCTCTCAGGGCAGATTCAAAGCTCCATTGCCCAGGATACATAGGATAGACTATTGTATTTTGGTTGTAGGAAGTCTAGCATACATCATCATCATCAGTGCAGATGGGAAAGACAGATGGGAAATGCAGTCTCTTTCACAGAATCATTTAAATTGGAAAAGACCTTTAAGATCATTGAGCCCAACCACAAACCTTACACTGCAGTCCCGAGGCAAGATTAAATTACCTCCTGGCAGGCTACAGAAACTTCAAGACACGTTCCTTTAGTCAGTGAAAATGCACATTATTGGAGAAGGTTCCAGCTGGTTCTGCAAGAGCCCCAGGAGCTTTGAACTCCAGGGACAGAAACCCATATGTGGAGTAGCTTCATTTGCTAAGTGTAAGGCCAGTTAAAAAACAAGGTAGGCATTCAGGTTCAGTTGGAGGAAGCAAAGGATTCAAGTTGTAGACCAACCTACTCCAGAGGTACCAGAGGGAAAGACAGACATCTACCTGATTGTCTTCACACATCTGCTGACAGCCAGTTCTGGTCATAAACCACTAATCACATGGATAAGTCAGCCAATTTTCTGGAGACACATGAACTGTTTAACCTCATCCCACTGCATTTGCTTAAGATAATCTGGAGACTGATACAAACAGAGCGGTGAACTGAACCATCCCAGAAAGAGCTTAACACTCATTAATGGGCAATTATCCTGATCTGATATGCTGCCTTTGTACATCACTTTCATGGAAAAGGAGAGCTCCAACAGTACCTCTGCTATCAGAGTGTGGGCACAGGGAGCACTACAGAAGTGCTTGCAACTATGCTTATATGAAAGATGTGATCCACACTCATGCAAGAAATGTCAGCAAAAAAGTGTGTGTATAAGCCTTTAGACTTGTGTTAGTGTTTCAGCAAATGAAAGCAACTGTTTTTTCATTCATTTTTCCCTGTAATGGACATTAAAAAAAAATGGATTGGAAAAATAAATCATCAATTTTCAGTGCAGTAGGGGACTGTACTTACATACATAGCGGACATTTCTCAGAAGTTTGATACCCAGCCATCTAAGAAAAGTCAGCTAAAATGATTCAGCTTTCAATGGCATGTTTAATGATGAAATTATTTCCTGTTTTTCAGATATAGCATAATATACAGTTGAATTTAGATGCAACTTGGCTTTTTCCACTATAAATCCATTGACTTTTCACCTACTGCCAGTAATAAACTACCCATTTCAGGAAAGGTGGCTCATTAATGTAAGAGAAGGAACACCTGTATCACTGTAAAGGAAATTATTAATGGGATTTACTTGTTATTTGGATCCTGGCAGCAAGTGTAAAATAAAGAAATACAGTGACTACAATGAAATAAATTAAAATAACAAAGTAAATTGTAATTTTAGTGCTTATTCAGGTGGACAAATTTCTACATGAAAAAGAATATCAGGTGTGCCAGAAGCTTTACATCTGTGCTCTTAAGAGGAAAGCTTAGACAAAGACTATTATCAGTAGAGAAGTAATTAGAGAAAAGAGAAGCTAACAGGTTTGATTTTATCTTACTTCCAAAGTAGCAAATCAGTTCCTGGCAGTCAATATAGTGGAGAAATATAAAGAGGAAGACTCAAACTATTGTTTTTGCAATATATTGTTACACTTTCCTCCAGATAGGAGTAATTATTTTTCTTGTCTTACCTTTTTTAAAGTAGCTTACAAGCAATTGCATGTGGTAATAGAACAGCAGAAAGGAAATTCACAGCACTTCATAGTAGAAAAAAGAGCTGA